TATATTTATAATTACAATCAATATAGTTATGATAAATATATTCAATATCTAATTCTATAGTTATAATAGATATATAGGTATAATACATTTACAGTATATAATAATCAATTTTCACTATGGGGGCGATTTATCATAGTTTTAACCCAAATTTGTACCACTTTCTCTCAAGATTGAAACATTTCTAAATCATGGGTGAAAACTGTGTTAATCAAGTGAAAACCATGATAAAAACACACTATAAATGTAAACTTCACAGTATAAAGATACATACCGGTATTTAGAAGAAATATACAGAATACCGTTATATTATGAGTGTTTATGAAAGTATAATAAATATTTAACAGATGATGTTATAAATAGATTATCATTATATAAATATAGTTACTGTATACTAATATACACAAATGTAGTAAATGTACAGAAAACTGCTGTAACATATAATATTTTGGCCCTGTTTGGTGTTTGGCTTACGGAAGAGCCCTGGGGCCATGCTAAAGAAAATATGAAAAAAAAAATGTTTACAAGTCAAAATTCTGTGTTTGAAAGTCAAATTCTGTTTGGAAGTCAGAATTCTGTGTTCGGAAAGGCAGAATTCTGTGTTTGAAAGACAGAATTCTGTGTTTAAAAGTCAGAATTCTGCGTTTCAAACTCTGACATTTAAGGACAGAATTCTGACGTTCAAACTCAGAATTCTGACTTTTAAAAAGAAAATGATTATGTTTCATATTTTTTAGCATGGCTCCTGGACTCTTCCGTAGTTTCCCATTGTAGGAAGTTCTGTGATTTTATCTGTGCAAAGTGAAAGCAATATCTTTTTGGACAGGGGAATTTCAAAGCTTTCAGAAAGATATTTATGACCCAGGAAATAACTACAGCCTACATGTTCTGAGGTTAGAAGTTTCCAAGTGGAACATATAAAAAAACACTTGACCCATAAGGCACACAATGACAAAATCTGAGAAGACTTTCTGTTTAATAAGAAAAACAAACAATCAGACATTTAAAGGGCTCATCCCAGTCTTTGGTGTGGGGTGTACTGTACAAATGGATACATATTGTGCATTTACAATCAGGAAACATCTTTCTTTTCAGAAACACAAATGTGAAAAATGTTCACTGGAAGATCAAATGCCAAAGAAAAATGGAATGGTGGCGAAAGCAAAGGTAGGACACAATTCTGTATTTTAGACACAGACATTTCACTAATAAACTGAAAATGATTCATCAGTTTTGTTGAGGAGAAAATGCTCTTCAAGCGGGTAATATTCATTGCAAGGACTGTTAGCTAAGGACATTTCCAATTCTTACCGCTTCTGCTCTGTAGATACTTATAGAATGACAATATCTTCTTCCAGGTGCTAAGTAGGAGGTTCTGTCTGCTATGATCACATGATCATTCCCAGGGTTGGAAAAGGAAATTTGTGCCTCAGCATCCCCATAGATGTACATTACTCTATGCCTATTATATCACCAAAGTCATACATTTAATAAAAACCATTTACTAACAGAATCATTTTCTATTAAAGTAGTATTAAGCTCTGATACTTTTTTTTAAATAATGAATCCAGATCAAACAAACATACATTGCCCAGACAAGCAATTCTTTATATTTTTGCCAAATCCCCTACAATCACCATGTTTCCAAATAGCTGTATCCAACTCTTTCAGCTCTGCTTCCCTGAACTTCCTGTCCAATACGTGGTCACAAGGAACAGAGCAGTCTCCAGCAGTTGTCCATCTACTAGCTAGGAGAAAGAAGAAAGGAGGAGTGAGAAACAGGGAGGTGCAGGAGTGGCTTGCCTTGCTGAGTCTTTACGTTTGTGGAGGCACACACAGCTTACTAGCACACACAACTGTGGCTGCATAGGACCCTGTACCTGAATTCTTTTAGGGGGTGAAGGTGGAAGTGCAAAGCTTTACCTGCCAAGGTCTGCAAGAGATATAAAAAGCTGTTGTATAGCAAAATTAGTTTTAGGGGGTCTCATCATTTAAATGTAAAATATAAATGTGTCCTTTCCTTGACTGTATTTACTTTAAGAATATAGTTTATGCTTCTAAGAAAAAAATAGCAATGTCACTAACTAAAACTCCAAATCGTTACAGAACCAGAACTCTGCCAACAACAGCTGGAAGGAAAAATGTCGCTTTTCCGCACTGGGCTGCACATACAAGGTAAGGGCAATAGACAGGGAGCAGTAATTGGAAAATGGTCTTACATACTTACCGTAATTTCCCTTTCTTGACAAGCTCCATGGCAGCATATGAATGGGTTAGGCTCTGCCTCCTCTAGCATAAAAGGACCGTTAGCTCATAAATGTGAGACCCCACTAGGCATTGGTGTCGCGTAACTATCTCACTCCGACTGGGCTGGTCATATGGGGCTATAGAGTTTGTCCGTAAAGGAAAATTGCAGTAAGTATAGAAGACAATTTTATGATTTCTTGACAGCTCCATGTCAGCATTGGAATGGGATGTAACTTGCAGACACAGAGAGGGAATGCTGCTAAATTTTTATGACAGGTAGACACAAACAAGAAAAATCTACAGTGGTTAGGAGGAGCTGTCACAATATGGTAATTCAACATAAAGGTGTAAACAGAGGACCAGGTAGCCTCTGTACATGTAGTTCCAGGAGAGACTCTGCCTGCTGCTGCCCAGGATGCTGATACACTATGTGCATAATATGCTGTTACACCTTCTGGTTCTGCCAGCCCTTTAGCTTTATAAGCCAGTAGTATTGCTTCACTATCTAGGATGCAAGCATTCTGCTGGGGGCCCTAAATCCCTTATTTGCACCTGAAGGTTAGACAAAAGGATGATCTGATTGCCTGATGGTAGCTGTGGCATCAATGTAGACTTGCAGGGATGGTTTACTTGGCGATCTTCTGAAGCAAAGAAAGCTCCAACAGTGAGTTCCACACACGCTGCCCACACCAAAGCTGATATTGGAACATTCCCCGAGGACCAGCAGCAGGGCTTCTCCACCCTACTCCATTAGGAGTAACTATGGAGGAACTGCATCTGGAATCAGGTGTCTTTACCTTATCTAGGTATGGAGCACTGTATTGCATGGAATCCTATTTTAAGATGAGGGAAATGAAGGACGGCTTAGCGGGGTAACAAATTATGAGACGAGAGTTCTAGACTTTTTTTTTTAATATTGCCTCCCTTGGGGTAAGTTTAGTTGTAGTGTAATATAAATCCAGCAGGTTCATTGCACACATGTTACTTCTAGTTGGTAAACTGTGGCAGGCCCAGTTGCTCTTTACGTGTTTAAAAAAAGATTTTCCTGAAACAAATGGGAGTATCAATTTTCTTTCTTATTGCAGGGCAGCAGAGATAAGGTGAAGGAACATGAGAAGTCCTCTGTGGTGGCACACCTGTCCTTGGTCGCCCCTGTTTTACTGCAGATCAAAGAGAGCCTGTCCCTGGCAGAGCCAGCGGAGAATGGATTCCACTACCCTCTGCAGGACTGCACAACTCGGACTGTCCGGAAAGTGTTTTCTAACCTACAGAATGGGGAAGTAAAGGCACTGAATGGTAACATTGCCGCGGACTGTGGCTGTCTGAATGGAGGCAACTCTGCAGGGGCAGACCCGCTTTCCAGGCTGGCAATACTGGAGGCCAGGACACAAGTGTTTGAAAATATTATTGCCGTCCTGAACCGTGAAATGGACAATGCCAACGCCAAACTGGTAGCAGCACTGCAGCAGAAGAATGAGGAACAGCAAAAAGTGAAAGCCTGCGAACAAAAAGTGAGGCGCCATTATTATCTTTGCTAAAAGGAAATGCAATAGCAGAAAAGGGCCAGTCATGACTGTTGAGAAGTCAAGTTCTGGTTAGCAGAACCTGCTGAGATTTGCAGTTCATCAATTATTGTGCCCCCCAAAAAAGTCACTAGTATTGCCTGCAGATAATCTTTTTCTGTATGGAGGCGGCATTGTGCCCTTATGTCAGAGCCTCCAGCAAGGAGAATAGTGAGCAGCATAGTAGTGACATCCCCATATCTCACTGTAAATCTCCTGAGACTAGTAGTCAAAGGCAGCCGGGCCTTAGATCTCACAGTGCAGATATGTAGCTTTAGACACAGGAGTACCTAGGCACAACCACATGCCCACATGCCAGGAAGCGCACTGCTTTTTTTCAGCTGGAACTTAGGATGAAAGGTACATATTCAGCATAACGCTAAGTCAAAATTAACAATTTTAGATGTACCCTATAACATAGCACGTTTTGTGTTCAGGTCCACATGAAGTAAGTGAGGAAGTTATTACAAACTGAGTGTTTATGGCATTAAATCTATAATTACAACTCTCCTCATCTTCTTGCAGATCACTGACTTACGTTGCACATTGGCAGCAAAGGAGATGGCACTAAATGAGTTTCACATGCGTCTGTCAACTCTTGAGCAAACCTCATACAATGGGGTGTTTCAATGGAAGATCTGCAACTTCACACAAAAATGCCATGATGCTGTGATAGGAAGAGCTATGAGCCTTTATTCTCCAGGTACATAACCCTATGCACCTCCACCCAGAACTAAACAAGGGGGTAATGGGCAATAATCCATAGCATCCAGCTTACTCAGTTTACAGAAACATGAATTCTGATTGGTTTAATGCATTTTATAATTATTTATTATAAATATTTGCATATAACTATTTACTACACAGAAAGCACTGAGTCTTTGCACCAATGTGGCTTACACTCTAATATCCCATCACAGTCACCCACTATTATTATACATTTATATAGCTCTGTCCCACCACGCGCTGCCCGGCTTCCTGATACAGGAAGTATCAGGCTAGGCATCGGAGCATTTGGGCATTACTAGTATCGGTATCGGTGCATCCCTAATTATTATTATACATTTGTATAGCTCTGTTCCACCACAGTCACACATTATTGTAATACAGTTGTAAAGCGCTGACATATTCCATAGCGCTGTACAGATAACAGTGAGCCACTCACACAGTGTCATACACTATTTTTATTCAATGATATTTATATGACAGTGGGATATCCCATATCACTTTATAGAATACATAAACAGAAATGATTATAATGTCTGAGTATTCATGTTTATGTCAGTTGATATGCGGTCAGTATGAATGCACACAGATTGCAATGAAAATATTCACAGGAGAAGCTGAACACAGAACAGGAAAAACACTCCAAATTTGTGAAGCAAAGTGAAAGTAACAAAGTCATGTTAAGCGTACATTTCCCAGCTAAATGATTTAAATACAACCATTTAATTACATTAAAGTGCTCAGCAGTATTTGGTAACGGGTGGTGGATTGGGAGCGCTGCCCAATTCTGCAGCGATAATTTAAGTTGCTAAGTGTTCTAAAGAATGACTTAAAATCCCATAATTGCACTGAGTCATCCGCCAGGGAAAACTGATATGGAATGTTCACTTTTTTTTATATGTGAGGTCAGGGGAGTTGTGACTGTTACAGAGAAGATGTTGAGCTGCTGTAAATGCTAAACACAAGGAAACTACAAGTCTTAAAGTGACACTGAACTCAGGAGTAAAATCTTCAAAATGCATTCATGTACCTTAACTATTAATAATACTGAACCTTATTGGTGTATCGCTGAGTTGTAGATCCTCAAATCATCTCTGAATTGGTGCAGACACTGTCCTTCCTTCTGGAGGGTGGCCACTTTTCTTTTCCCCATGGTCCTGTGTGTTGTAAAGTAGCCACCGCTCCAAGCTCACTCTTGTCATCAGGACCGCTGCAAGGAATTTTGCCTACACAGGCGAAAAAGCATTTTTTGCGCCCCAAAAATGTTTTATTTATCTGATTCTTTTTCACTTTTTTATTTGTTATCATTTTTTTTCTAATTATTTGTTAATTTCTTAATTTTTTTAATCTTACTATCTTTTACTTTTTATTAGGGATGCACCGATACCGATACTAGTATCGATATCGGTGACGATTCCGAGTATTTGGAATCGTCTCGGCTGGTGCCGTGACCTGCCTATATGGTAGAGCTGGGCCTGCACACATGCTGCAGCTTAGGACCGGGAGACGGACGGGGGAGCGAAGTAAAAAAAAAGCGTGTCACTTATTCCTGCAATAAGCGACTCACTGGGCTCAGGAATAAGCGACGCACTGTGCTCAGGAATAAGCGACGCACTGGGCTCAGGAAAACAGTTGACTTAGCAGTAAAAACAGAAGAACACTAAGGCCTTGTTCACACTGAAAGTGGTGCGTTCCGGAGTGGTAGCTGCTGGAACGCACTACGATCGCTCACGAAACTTCCCCCTGCGTTCTGGGGCAGGAGGGGGCGTGATGGTGCATTAAAGTCAATGGCAACACTTTCACGCCATCCCCTCGCGCCCGCAGTGCGATCAGACGCTTGGCAAAACTTTGCCTGCATTGCGTTCCACTGAAAATGCAAAAAATAGAGCTTCCTCTATTTTTTGCGTTTGCAGTCGAACGCAATGCAGGCAAAGTTTTGCCAAGCGTCCGATCGCCCTGCGAGCTGGGGTGGGGGGGGACTTTAATGCAGGAGGCTGAGGAGGACACACAGCGACCCACAGTTTGAGAACCACTGCCTAAAGGAGACACTATTTCAGCGGTTCTCAACCTTTCTAGTGCCGTGACCCTTTGATAAAATTGCCCAAGTTGTGGCAACCCCTAACAGTAAAAGTATTTTCAACGCAGAATAACGCCAGCTACAGAGGAATACAGAAAATCACAGCAATAGTACTTGTACAGAAAAGTGCCGCTCGCTGTCCACAGTGACAGCCCTAGAGCCTCCAAGCCGCCCAGAGCCGCAGCAATTATCACTCCGTCCCTGCCAGCAGGCCTGGGGCGGCCAGGTCGCATCTCACTCAGCCGGTACAGCCCCGCCTCCGGTCCCGCCTCGGCCCCTCCTCTTCCTCCACCCGGTCGTTCTGTCGACTACATTAGGTGTCCGCGAGATCCAAGGAGCAATAATTAGGCGGCCACTAACTGACCACAGATTTTTCCGCCCTCACACCATCAGCGCCCTCAGGCGACCGCTTGACTTGCCTTGCGGTAGCTCCGGGCCTGCTTGTGATGGACTACAATCTCATGTTTAGTTTACTTATTTGTATTGAGATTGTAGCCTATCATGGGAGCGAACTTGGAGCGGTGACTACTTTACAACAGGGCCTGCTTTAGTCTCTGGAATGGGGCTACATTCAAATGAACCTCCAAAAGGTGGAAACAGTACTGATTTGTCTTTTGTAAAAGATATAATGGGGCCCGGATTACATTTTGCACCAGGACCAAAAGGCTTTTAATCTTGCCTACAGCAATGATTTCCTGACTGATAACTGATTTCTTCTTCTTCGCAGCCTTCTACACTGCCAAGTATGGATATAAGGTGTGCCTTCGCATTTATTTAAATGGGGATGGAGCTGGCAAGGGGACACATGTCTCGCTGTTCTTCGCCATCATGAAAGGAGAATATGACGCTCTGCTGCCCTGGCCCTTCAAACACAAGGTAACAATTATTCTACCCCCAACAGGCACTCACTAGCAATGAAGATTGTGCAGTGTGGTGACAGAGAACCAAGTCTCGCCTTCCTTCCACATGAACATAATTACTGTAACAACTGCACAGTGTTCACATTACTTCATTAACACCAGCCTGACACATTGACTTCTGAAGGTCAATTAAAGCTGAACTCCAGTAAAACAGATACATATACAGCTGAAATGTACATAAGGTAGCTGCTTTATCTGCCAAAGGATTTGTATTTCCATCAATCTAGTCCTGAGCCCTCTCAGGAGACCTGAATTGTCTCGGCTGCAATTAAGTAACACTTACAGGTCTTGTTCCTCCCCCAGCCTTTGACTAGACAGTGAAGGGAGAATCAGCACACTGATAAGCTAGTCTCTTTGCAATGCCCTCTCCCCCTATCAGCATACTCTTTGTTAGTTTATGAACACCAATTCACAGCTGGTCAACTCCTTGTGCTGCATACCCTCTCTCAGTCTGAGCTCTGCTGTATAGGGGATGCTAATACTCAGCCAAATTCAGGTACAGCTTGCATTTAAAAAAGTATGTAGCGCTCCCGAAGGAGCCGCTGGATGATCGGGTCTTCCATAGCCTGTCTAGGGATTATTAAAACACATGGCTGCCCCAATAGCATTTACCACTTCCAGTGGTTACCGACAGATTGAAGTCCAGACAATAGCTCCAAGATGATTCTCTTTTATTTCTGAAACTCCAGAGAGAGAGGGAAGAGGGTCAGGCACATCCAGGATGAAGGTAGACTGTTAGTACTTGAAATAGAGCATAGTTACTGCTGCCAACACAGACTTGGACCTTTAAGCCGTACCGACTGTGTGGAGAACTTCTGGCAAGCAGTACTATCAAGGGTCTTGTTCAGGCTCAATTCCAACATGAGTGGCTGACCACTGGGCCTCCAGACTCAGGCCCCAGTATCCAGGCTTAGGCCCCAGTGTCCATGCTTAGGCCCCAGGCTTGGGCCTAACCCATTCTGTCTCTCAGCAGCAGGCATCCTCTCCCCAGGAGGGCCCCTGGGGGAGGGAAGAGACCGTTGCATCAGCCACACTCAGCATTTATCTCCTCTCCCAGCATGCATCACTGCTACTGTCCTACAGTGATTGGCTGGGAGACATAAATGCCCAAAGCAATCCTCATTGGCTGTTCTGCCCTGTGTGGTACCACACCCATCACAGGCAGACACAGCTTCACAGATTGTTCTGTCACAGTTGAACTGAACATAGACTATAGATATAATCTAGCACTCCTTTTAGCAGGGTGCTACAAGTATATATAGGATATTAATCAATATGGCGCTACATAAATTGTGTCTTAAAGTTTAGCTTTATAGAGGGACTCCAATCCTATAGAAAATCAGACTATTAAAATCCAAATGTATATCAAACAGCTATTGAGTCACCATTGATAAGTACATTGTAAAAATGCTATGGTTCCATTGTACACCAGTTCCTTTTTTAAAGGAACATCCTTAGATCTGTACATAACATTGGACAAGTAACCACTTCAGCTCTGGAACCTGTATAAGACAATTGGTGTGCACATCATCTCCTGCTACAATGCAATGAGCTCCTGCACAGTAAAAACTCTGCCATATGTACAGCTCAGTGACAGTAGTAATAACCTTTTTTTTTTCTTCTAGGTGACATTTATGCTGCTGGACCAGAGTAACCGAGAACATGTGCTTGATGCCTTCCGCCCAGATGTCTCCTCCGCCTCCTTCCAGCGACCTGTCAATGATATGAATATTGCCAGTGGCTGCCCCTTGTTCTGCCCCTTGTCCAAACTACAGTCTTCCAAAAACAACTACGTGAAAGATGACACCCTCTTCATCCGCTGTATCATTGACACGTCTTCATAGCCACAATGCAGGAATACAGATCCAGTGCATTAGACTGACAGTGTTATGTTCATGGAGTACTGATTGCCACATATCCTCACCTAGACTCTGGATCGTTACATTTATGCACTATTTATAATTAAGCTGAACACAGAATATGACTAGCCAAGCGCCAAACTATGTTTATGCGGCCCCCTAGCATTCACCAGTTAGGTGCAAGTGAGAACATTTGAATAAAAGCGTGTTCTTGTGACCAGTGGTTCTCCTTACCATGCCATAGCTTGTTCCCTCGATACAACAGATTGTTCCCCATGTAAGCTATGCTGGAAGAATGATGTAAGGATAAGGGGGTTCTGGACTCGTATTCTGTGTCAATCCTTGTACTGTATCTGGACTGCTGCACTGCTACTATAGTATAATATTGATGTCACTTTAAGAATACAATATATCATTTTAAATATTGTTTTTAAAAGAGAACTATTGGGTAAACTTTTTATCCATAGTTCTCTTAATGGTGACGGGAGGACATGTACTAACCTCCTCCCGTGACCCAAAGCTCAGTATATAGCGAGCTACAGCTCGCTATATACTGAGAGTACTGCAGATGGGACAGATCCCGACAATACTGTCGAGATCCACCCAGCTAGCTGGTTGACAGCGGGCTCTGCCTATCTAGAGGCAGAGCCAGCTGTGCCCACCCCCTCCCTCGTCCATTCCTCCAGTCAGTGCTGGAGGATCGGAGAGGGGATGGGGGAATCCCTGTGGGTCACCACTCTCTGCAGGTAGATGATCGGAAAGTGAGTGAACAACGGTATGTGTTCGCTCACTTCCCAATTAATTCTTCTCTATGACAGTTTTATTGTCACACGTCGGCTCTAACTATGAGGATGAGTGAAAAATCACTCACCTCATAGTTCTCCTTTAAACCTTAGTTGGATTACTTGAAATGGATTCACTGCTAACAATCAATTGAAGGTACGTAGTGGGTTTGCTATGGGCAGCTGCTGCATGCCCCACATGGCACACAATAGTCTTGTGAACGGCTTTATGTTGGTTTTTAAGGGGACCATATGATCTGTGTATATTGCCATACCAATTGCACCGTAACAGGTCTGGAATTGCCGTGCAGTGAGACCACATGAATATGCATACAGCATTCAGTTCCTCTAAGAAGGTTCAAGGTTTCAGCCTGCGGTCTCAGTACTGCAAACACAACATCCAGGAACTGCACAACAAAACTTACTTGTGTATATATGGTAAAGGATACAATAATATTTCTGGTGAGTACTGTATGGTTTACTTGTACAATTATGTCAGAACTCTGGAAAGCTGTTTCGGTGAAACAGAACAAACTATGTCTTATACTTGATGCCATGACACATGGCGATCTCGGAGATCAGCCAATGACATCGGAGATCAGCCAGTGACATCATCACTTGCCTGTTTACAATTATGTATGCAATATTTAATAAGTTATTTGTGCAATCTATAATAAACAGTCTGCAACTGTGACAAGAAAGGATGAGGGTGTTTATTTTTTGTCATGTTTGTTTATACTCGATGCTGGGAATCCTCTCTGAATGATCTCTCGGCCAAGTCTCTAATGTACTAGACACATAAAAGGTTATTAAGACAATAGTTGTAATTAGTAACCTGCGTCTGTCATCTAAAGACGCATTCATCTCTTTTGTTCACATAAATGTGCTGACAGAGTCAAGAGAGAAAATGATAACTCATTGCTTCTTTACATCTTCCTGCTGCAGCGAAATGGCAGTTGACAGGCTCCACACAGAGGATTGTATAGGCTCTGTTTTGTGAAACAGTCTTGCTTTTGAAATCAAAGTTTTATTTTTAGTGGTGCAGGTAAGACAGGTAAATTAATGTTTGATTTCCTGAGAAACTGATCAGTGGAACACGTGTGCCACATTCCAGCAGTGCTCAGCTCCAGTACTGAATGCCCACTGAGGCAATAAACAATGGAACATTTATCAGTCTTAGCTGGTAAATGCCAATCTGAAGAGTAGCAGATCTAACAATCTTCCTTGAACTGCATTATTGTGTAAAATACAAACACTAATGGAGTACTGAATGCTGCTTTGAACAATGTGCTCTCCCATTATTTTGTGTATGCAGCAGACATGAGCTGTAAGGTGCTCTAAAGGGTTAAAGCGGACCGTCTATGCAAATACAAGGTCCACTTTCCTACCAGTCCCTCACTGGCTAAACAAAGTAAGCTGCAAAAAAATAAAGGCTCATCATCATGGCTCACCGCTGCTTTCTGGGCACTCAAAATCCCACAAGATTGCACACTGTAATAGGCTGTGGGATTTCCAGTGCCCAGCTATTCCAACAGACAGCGGAAAGGCACCGTGATGTCACGGCCTCCTGCATGTGTTGGAAGCTGGGACTGAGCTGAATACTTTGTTTTCTTTTTCTTGCAAAAGCTTAATTTTGAAAGGTTTTTTTTTTGAGCAACCTTCTAGTTTACGTCCGTTTAAAAGGAAACAAAAGGCTTTCAGCCAATTCTCTTTTCTTTTAAGTATACATGTTTTTAAACTGTTTTTTTTTTCTTCTTGTTTTACTGTTTATATCAAATCTTTATTTTATACCAGGCGCAATTATGACACAGGAATCACAGGGCACTTTGGGATCCCTAGGGGCTAAAACACATCTTTGTGATAGGGTTTGTTGCAGTAACAGTAATACAAGTTATGTGAGGAGCCATTCAATGGCACCCCAATGTACTAAGGCAACACAGCTCTGACACACATGCGTTGCAGAAAAACACATCACATAGTTATGCACTACTGTGTGTTGGGGTGCGCTGCATTGGAAAATGCCAAATTTCTGTTATTTGGGTGGTTCCTGTGCGTTGACAGCCCATTAAAAAGAATTAGGCTACTTTAAAGCAACACGCATTAACAGTGAGGGAACTTTATCAAAACTGGATCAGACAAAAGCTCGAGCAGCTGTGGATGGCAAACAATCAGCGTTTTTGTTTCATTTTCAAATCTTAACTGAACAAACTGAAGAGAGACGCTGATTGGTTGGCATGCATAGCTGCTCCAGATTTTGCCTGCTTCACTCTTGATAAATTCCAGTGTGTGTTAATGCCTGTGTATTATTGCAGCACACAAGAACAGAGAAATGTGAATCCACTCTGTAAAAACAGCACTGCAGAAAATGTTTCTTTTCAGACTCTCGCTCTCTAATTGAAATTTCATGTGGAGCCATCTACAAATGCCATCAGAGAGGAGGAGGAGGATTGCTGAGACACGCTGCGGATCAGTCAGCTGTGTGTTTAATCTGAGCTTCAGCTCCTGACCTCTTTAAACCACAGCCATTTATTTTTTGGGGAAAATAGTAAAAGGAATCAAGTACTGAAGCTCCTGAACCAACAAAATAGCCAAGCAAACCAGTATTTTTTTAGCAGGAGGCCATCAATTGTATCCTACAAATTCCTTCTTTGCAGGTTTCCCTTACAATTAGCCTAGTTAACACGTGAGAAGGAGCCTAGAGCGCCATCTGCTGGCAGAAAACCATATATATTTTCATACTGATCTGACTATAAAATTAAAAATAGTACAATGTATTTCTTTTTGGTCCTACACATAAATATGTATTTTAGTTTTTGATAGAGTATATAAAGGCTAGAACCTCGTTTTTTTTGCTGTCTTTCTATTTTTTGTGTGTCTTTGGGACAGGAAGTTAACAAAAAGCTCCACAATGGGGCTTTCCGTTAGTTTCCTGTCCCAAAGACACAACAGGAAATTAAGTGAAGAAAATCTCCCTAAAGTAAAGTGAGGGAAATAACCTCTTAGACAGTTATCACCAGAGCTGGTGGCCCTATTGAAATGTTTTTCTAGCTTCCTGTTCAGGTGACAACTGTTACATTTTAGATTTCCCATACTTTTTACTTTAATGACAATGGTCACCAAAAAAATAGGGCAATTGGATGAGAAAGCAAGTGGAATGAGAAAAGAATGAAAACCTGCAGGAGTTCCAACCCTTCCTCACTCCATCGAAAACAAAATAAACAACAAGTTATGACTTTATATACACTTTAACATATACCATCTGATAATGAGGGACAATATTCTGTATGAATCAGCCATCTTCAAAGATTTTATGTAATATGTCTGACATGTAAATGTATCTCATTTTAGCCATTGCGAGATTACAAGATGATTTACCGGCCTCTACTGCCATGTAACAGATCCGCTGTGCCAGCTGTTCACATTATCTACCACCCTGCAATATGCCAATGTACACTCCTGGCGGCAATCTCCTTATAAAACAAGCCAGCGTGATAGGAAGATGACGTGCACACAACATAATCCATTACAATAAATTGAATTAAAACTTCAACTCTTCCGCTAGTTTAGTTACATACGGGGGATCAGATGGATGGAAAGGGATTGAGCTCAAGTAGGAAATTATAAGACATCAAATGCTGCACGATAAGAGCTGTATAAAACATCCACAGAGAGAAGATTCTTAAAGGGCAACTTCATCCAAAAACCAGTATTTTTTTTGTTATTTTAATTTTAAGGTTAAACTCTAAAAGGAGGATCTGGATGGAGGCATCGTGGAAGTCAAGAAGAATAGCCAGCAAACTAGGAAACGCGGCTACCTTATGATGAATAGGGCCAATAGTGACCCCTTCATATCTGAATTGGCTCTAATCATATGTACAAACTGCTCCAACGCCAAAATAAATCAGAGGCAATAAGGGGCAGCCTTGTCTCGTTCTGCTTAAAATTAGACAAGCTCCCATTTAAACCCAATCCTTGTGAATTTACAGGAATGTAAAGTATAATATAATTTTACTAACCCTGGCAGTGGGGCTACCAAGGGTTAAGTGCTCGTTTTGAATCTAGGGACTAAAATAGAAAAGTTATACTCACCCGATTCTCCTGTCCTTCCAGTGCCTCTCCCCCTTCGCTGCAGCGGTCTAATGTCGCTGAGCCATCAAGTTCTATACACAGTAAGGACGTGAGGGACATTCCATCGCCGCAGCGGATTAGGAGACAGGCTGGAGGGAGCGCTGTGACAGCTGGACAGCTCCAGGGATCGGGTAGTATAACTTTTTTATTTTAGTCCCTAG